TGCGGGGGGTGTGGGGGGGCGTCCCTCCCCGCTGCGGGGGTCCCTTCCCTCCCACGGGATCCCCCTTCCACTGGGGGAGCCTCTGCCGCAGGAGCAGGCGCGGTGCACCCGACCCGGCCGGTGGGTGAAATCCAGCTGCAGGTGCGCAGGATGTTTCCGTGTCCGAGGAATTAATCAGTTTTATTTACAGCATTTCAAGCCAGCCGTGTTCTTCTGGCTGAGGGGGGGATGTAGAGACACCAGCAACGTTGCCCTCCCTTGCCTAGATTACTGCATAATGGAAGTGAAGGCGCAAGCAAAGTGGAAGGGGGGATAAGTGTCTTAACAGCTAGCCTTCAAATTTTTATTTGTTTTGCAAGTGAAGAACATGGTAGCAAAAATGCTGAAACACTTCTTAGTTTGCTTTTCCGCTAGAAGGTTAGATCGTCATTGCATTAAAAGGGCTGAGAGACACCAGTCTGAGCAGCCGTGTAACCTGGGTGATGGACGCTGCAGATATTGGCTGTGCTCAGATTGCTTTAAGAACTATTTCTGTGCAATGGGAAAATATGCTTCCCTAACGGGACTAAGATTCTTTTATTCTCTTTGTTTATGTCAGCAGAAGAAATTGGCATCATTTTAGGTTTCGGACCAGTGGCTTGATATTTAAGGTGTTAAAAAATTGTTAAAACTAACAGGTATGAAAGATTTCACCCATGAGCATATCGTTCTCTCAGTATCAATCTGGAAGGTAATGTTTGTGCCAGACTTGATCTTTTAAGGTCTTTTAGAAGAGAGGGGTTAGCAATATCCTAAAAGTAGGTTGATTTTGCAGAGGCTGCTGATGTTTTTCTGATGTTAAAATAGGTACTTTTAAAAGAAGTCAGTGATGGAGTAGTTGCACAAATACTTTGTTCAAAGAATTTACGGTTAATACTCCAAACAAGATGTGCCCAACGTAGGGCATGTGTCATGTTATAGAGATACTCCAGGGCCATTTCCTCTCAGCACACGGTCAAACGTGAGCCCGTCATCTGTCTTCAGTTGCATGGCCAGTTATAGGACCAGGTTTCACGTGCTTCCCTCTCATAAATGGATCTGTGTGCCAGCTTCCGAGGTCCTGTGGGCAGGACGGCAGCAGGTAGCAAGACAAAAGCTGGATGCGTTGCCGCGGAAGACTCTGTTCAGCCTGTGGCCATAATTGGTCATGTTTGTTCTACGCAGACATTGAACTGCAAGTGCAGCTTAATAGCTCTTGCAGAATCAAAAATAGATTGCATATTGTTAACATTATAGGTCAGAGTCCCTCTGTTTTTCTCAGTTTGGATTTCAGGCTGGATATCTAACCGCACAGCAGTCCCTCGTTCCAGATGTACCTACTTGCTACTCAAGAGCAGGCTTGCAGATTGAAGACACGAATGTTGCCCTGGTACATGAGGGCTCTTACATGCTGAATGAATTACATCAGAGCCTAATTTAAAGTGGAGGTGTCATTTGGTAAATGAGAGGGAAGAGTTTCTCTGTGGTTCCTTTTAGATGTCCATCCCTGTGCTGGGGCTAACATTAGAAAGGAACTAATATACGATAACCATGCTTATATTTCTCAGAACCTCAGAGTTCTAAACTAACACCTTTTACATTTCCTGCTCCCAGGAAAATAGATACTTTCCAGAACTTCTCAATATCCATTTTGATATTGTCCCTGTTAGAAAATTATATTGACTAACAGTCAGCTGGGAGTTTGTTTTTCCTTCTAAGCTGGAAAGATAAATACTTGCTTGGTTTTGCTCATGGGAGAAAAAAAGTACAATTGGAAATGTTCCTTCATGCCAAATATCTTACATTGTTAAGTAATTGTAAGTGTAATTAATTGGACAGTGGATAAGGATTGAAGAGCAGACAAGTGCTTCTTAATAAGGGGACAGCAGAGAATCAGAAGTAGGAACTGGAGTGGTCAAGGGTGCACATACCCTGGAAAAAAAAGAGCTTTTGTAGAGGTCTTTTCAGCAATGGAAGCTGTAGCAAAGGTGCAGCATCTGTGATTTGTTTTGTATCCAAGTGACAAAAAAAGCCTTGCATGCCATTGACAGCATTGCATCCACCACCAGCAATGCCTCAGTGTAGCAAGATGTTTCTCTGGAACAGAAAAAAAAAAAAAACAAATTGTGAGAGGGAGTTAAGCAAAGAAAGAGGACGAGTGTGTGGATGACACAACTGTTTGGATTAGTAAAGGCTGCCAGGAGCAGAAGGATATAAACAAACTCTGGCTGGGCGGAACAATAGCAATCAATTCAGCCTAGGGAACTTCTAAGGTATAGTTTGCATGGAGTCATGACTTTATTTTTTTATTTTTCAGCTTGATAGCTTGATCCCCTTCTCCATGTGTGGGATCATACTATCAGTGCTAAATAAGCCAGAAGGAACACAATCAGGTGCATTTTTAGACCCTAGACTGGTTTTCCTAGGCCTGGCATTTGGTGAAAAAAAAACACTTACGATTTTTTTCTAGCATAGTTAACGATCTTGATTTAGTCACTGAGAAAAAATACACAAGCTGGGTGCCAGTTTCAGAGTTTTAGTTTACCCCAACCCTGTTACGTATTTTAAGGAGAAGAGAGAAGGTATATTTCTCATTTTCGCAGATTCCTTAGCTAAAACCTTTTCACCAGCTACCTCTACCTGAGTTTTCCACTTGTAAGACAGCAATTATTCTTTGTACCTTATTTTTCAGGACAACGTAAAGGGTTGTAAGTTACTCTTTGAAAGTGTGTTTTCATACAAGCACTAATTGTCAAGTTTCGTTGTCCAAAGTGATGTGAAGGAAATGCATTTGTGTCTGTATATCAGCCAGTCCACTTCTGCTATATGTTCTTTCAGGTTTATGGCCACCAACGACCTGATGATGGAACTGCAGAAAGATTCAATAAAACTAGATGAAGACAGTGAGAAAAAAGTTGTGAAAATGCTTTTGAAATTGCTGGAAGACAAAAATGGGGAAGTACAGAACCTCGCTGTCAAGTGGTAAGAGCCTCGGCAGTAGTTACCATGTTCCTTGGCAGTAATAAGGCTGTCAGGGACTGCAGAGAGTGCATTAGAGTGGAGCCTGGCCCTGCAGCATTGGCACCTTACTCAAACCTCCCTTTGTAGGTTTCCCTCTATGCTGGGCTTTCCCTCTTATGCTTTCCCTCTTATGCTGGGCACAGCAGTCTCTTTCTCCGTTGATATTCAGAAAGGGTGAGCATACAGATACCTTTGTGGAAGCAGTAGGTGATTTTGGAAGTAGTTCAGTGTTTGTATTATGAATCTTACCATATTAAAAGTAGCATGCCTAAGATTTTATTTCTTCAGAGAGAAGCCCAGTTTAAAATTTTGGTCATCAAGTTCCTCTGCTTTCTTGGGCTTTGAAATCCAGTGCTGAATTTCCCAGTGGTCCTGTCTTTGATAGAGATGGTACTAAATGTGTATAGCCCTTCAAAAATGGCATTTGAATTTCAGCTTCAAATCCTGCTCTTCAAGGGTGTTTTCATTAAAGTTTATAATGCACTTGGCTTTTTTCCCTGCTTTGACTCCAAGCGTAGCCTGTGCTGTTGCTTTGCCTTTGACCGTTTCAATTTTTGTTTTAATCCACATGAAAAAGTCAGAAGGTTCCTTTATTACTGAATCATCTGATGAAGTGATCCTACTGCTGACATGTTCTTTCCTGTCTCTTTCCCTCAGCATATCTAAATGGGAATGTTCATTCTAGAAATGAAATTGAATGGGTCAGTTCACGCACAGGGCTCCAGAAAGGTGGGCCATTTAAAGACAACTTTGGGTTCCTGTATTTTTTTCCTACTGTGGATCTTATCCATATTCCCTTCTTTTTAACCGTATATTGCTTCTATCCCTGTACTTTTCCTGTGACCTTTGGCCCTTTCTGATTCCCACTGTCCTGACTTTTTCTGGCCCCGTTCCTGTCTTTGCCTGCTTTGGGTTTGTTTATTCTATTTTTTTAAGCAAAATGGTTGGGCACTGAACAGAGTACAAATTTCTTTGTCTGTTTATCTATGGTTGCATTAGCAATAAGTCCATACTCATTACAGTCACTAATTCATCCAGAATGTGATAATGAGAAGGCCTCAAAATGGAACCGGTAATATTGCCTTTTTATACTTAAGGAGGTACTTAAAACAGTTAATGTCCAGTCAGTTATTCCCAGCCAGGTGGCGAGGATCTCTAAGAAGGAGAAATGTGATGGTTTGAAGGACACTGGCAGTTGGATTAGGCCCAAGTGTGGATCTGTGCAGCCCACATCAGGATTCAGGTGTAACTTAGGAAACTAGAGAGGTCTTGCAGTTGATTTTATCATCTAAAACTATGATCTTATTTCTTCAGAGGAATGCTGAAATCACACTTCATACCCAAAAACTCACGAATTTGAAATCCATATAAAAACTTGCCCTGTTTCTGGTTCTGCGATTTTTTTTTTTCAATTTAAATGAGTTCCTTAGCTTCTCTGTGCCTCAGTGTCCCTGCCTGTAAAATAGGGATAACCATCGGTTCTTTTCTGCATGTTGAAGTGTAAGATTGAACGCTACTTGGACTTGCACGAAGTCTTATTATTTAGTATTTCTTTTCTAATTCTTGTACTTCAGAGTAGCTACTCAGACTCTAGACTCTAAACAAGCTATTATTGTCCCAATTGTTGAATTTAGGAATAGTTTTATACAGAACAGGCTGCGTGTGAGTTTGCTTTGTGTTCTCTGGGAAGCACTCCGCGTATAGTGTTTCTTAAGCATGCTGTCAGGGTAGTTGTGGTATGCCAGCAGGGAGACAACTACGTGTGCATAGGTGTTCCATACAGTTTGCATTACTGGAGCTATGCCAAAAGGAAGAGAGAAAAAGAAGACAGGAAATGCATTTTTGTACAAGGAGTTTATAAACTGTGTCCAGCAATAAACGTTGTAGAGTGCTAGCACCATGTCTTCTCATACAAGCTCTTAAGAAAATGTAAATCATCAAGGCCAATGTTTTGACAGTCCTGTTCAGCTCCCACTGAAGTCAGGGACTTTTGCCACTGACTGTTGGGAGCAGAACCTCTCCTGTGTGTAAGCTTCAGTGAAAGAAGGGTATGTTGAAAGCCCTGCATGTCTCTCTCTCTCACTTTTTGTACTCTGGTAGCCTTTCCTTTTGAGCCCTATAGACATGTAGCATTGATGACAGTCCCCAGGGGTCAGTGGCTATGCCCTAGCATTATGCAGCACACAGAGCCAAAACCTCTAGTCCCTCTTTCCTGTACATGTGAAAAGAAGAAAAAACAAAACTCCAAAGAGGCAGGTTAGTCCTTTCCTTCACACTGTTTTCTATTTTCACTTGGCTATGTGAAGGGGAAGAGAGGGGGAAAAAAGAAATGTGAAACCTTCAGGAACTGGTTATTTAAATACATTTTTGCTCTGGAACAGCAGCATGATGGTACTTTTAAAATTCTAGAACCCTGTTTAGAAAAATGGTTGTGCTGCGCATGAATCACAGGGAGCTGTTCAATTCTCATATGTTTTTTGAACCCAAAGGAAAAGATCTATGTTTTCCCGTTCAAATCATTCAGTTTTCACTAGTCCCCACAAGAAATGGAACAAGGAAGCAGTGACTAACATTTTGTACCTAGCACAGAAATTGGAGCGCAGCCACATCACTGCTACAGCAAGTAGCTGCTTCTCTGCAAGGTGGTATTGACTCATGGGAAACAGAAAAATACCTATAGCATCTGCCAGAAATCTCTGTTGAGATCCCAATCCCTCCAAAGCCATTTCTAGATTTGGGCATGAAGAATGGCCTAGTGGTGTTAATCTGCAAGCTAGGGCCCCAGTTCTTCATCTGGGCGGACCAGTCAGTGGGACAGGAGGAGTGGCATAACCACGGGGGCTTGGGCATGGATCTCTGCCACTTGTGGGTCATGGGGCCGTGGGCAAGCTCACTCAACCTGTAGAAGAGCGATGTGTTGTTAGGATTGAAATCGGGCTCAAAGTATTTTCTGTGGATGCTTGTTAAAACAAGAAGATGGAATTTTCTATGCAGTCTGATGTTTCCACTCATCTGCGTTTGCTTCTCATGTAAATTCTAGCAACCAGATTTGCTATCTGTGAAACAGCAATTTCTTAGTAAGGGATACAGAATATTCACGGAAAACAAATGCATTTTGAATTCTTTAGTTTAATTCAAAGAGTTAAGTACAGCCGGTTAGGGAAGGAAAGTCGTACGTGACTTGCTGAAATACAGTTAATACTTTACATTTTAGCTAGTTACCTTGTAAAGATGCAAAAATAAGTAGTTGCGAACAAATACTGACAAATGCTCTATGCAGAATTTTGAATACAAACTTACCAGCAGGAAACGTAGGTTATTAACAGAAAGTATTTCTAATAATAATAATAATTAAAAAAAAGCACAGGGGAAAAGGAGTGGTCTTCCCTGTGTTGTAATTCTGAGCCTTGACTCAGGTAGAGGTTTTCATGCACACTGCAGAGGGCAATAGGTAGCTAATTGTTTGTGAAAACCCATTTGGCATTTCCTCCTGAAAGTCAGATTTTGATGGTTGGTTTCTTTTTGTTTTTTTCCAAAATCTGACTGTGGATTTTACCATTACTCTGTGTAACGTGGTTGCTTTGGTTCAAATTCATTGTGTCATAATTTCTGAGCTGCCCCTTCCAGTAAGATAACTACTGGCCTCATGTTTGCAGTAGGTGATGTGAAATGTCCTCCTACAAATCTGATCTAAAATTCACTGAAGTCTGATATAAAGTTAACTGAGGCAACAACGCAGGGTATGTAAACCTAGGAACACGATGTGCTGCAGGATATCGGTACTTGATACTGATGTTTTGGTAATATTTGCACTTGGTGCTGAGCTGCCTTTAAGGAGGAGGAGTGAGCCCGAGCACCCCTTTTGATGGTGGAGAGCATCCCTCTTCCTCTTCATTCTGACTGGCTTCTCTTCCCACAGTCTGGGCCCGCTGGTTGGCAAGGTGAAGGAGTACCAGGTGGAAACCATTGTGGATACGCTGTGTACAAACATGTTATCTGACAAGGAACAGCTGCGGGATATCTCCAGTATCGGACTGAAAACAGTCATCTCCGAGCTGCCACCAGCTTCTACAGGTAAAATGTCTGCCCCTGTTTGTCAGACTGAGGCAATAGGGAGTCACAGCCTTTGGGAAACAGAGCAAAACGTGCAGGTCAAGGCCTAAAAGTTACAGATTCCTCATTCACCTGCTAGAGGACAAGTAATGAAATAAGGAGGAGAGATAGTAGAAGTTGAGACACTGATGTGATTAAAGATGGGATGAAATGAAAACTTGAGCTGGTCACCCTGAGGATACTTAAGTCTGAAACTGCATCTGAGTTCTTGGAGAAATCCATTTTTGTTTGCAGCAATCCTAAAGCATTCAGTGTCCGTCAAGATATTGCTGTTCGGGCAGTCTTGCAGGGCCGTTGGTCTCCACATCAGCAATGCCCCTACCCTCTGCGATCTCAGCAGTGCCAGCACTGCACCACCTCCTGTCCACAGCCCGGCTGGACCGAGTCTTCTGACTGCCACAGCTACCCTGGCTGCCTCTCCTGCATTTGGAACTACTTATCCCAAAAATGCAGCAGCTATTCAGGAGATACCTGAGCCTCCCAGAGATTTAAGTTTCCTCTGCAGCCATCTCATGTATCTGTTGTTCCTTCACGGTGGGTGGCCATGGCAGTGCTGCCAGGCTGCTGGATGTTAGGTTGGGAGGAGAACTAGAATTAGTATGCAAATACTTGCTGAACTCCTCTCTCAATTTCTGCAAAATGTTAAGCTCTTGTGAGCCATCCTTTCAAGATTCTTTATTTAACATACATCACATGAACTGAAACTGTTTTAGGGTATCAACAGATAAGTCATCTCCTTAAGGGTTGGGATTGACACTGTGTGGGTAGAAGGCAGCAAAAGCATCGTGGGTTTGCTGCAAAATGGAGAGGTTGAACATCCTCCCCTGTGCTGTCTTCACCCTAAGCCCCACTCTGCATGGTTGCTGTTGCTGTGGTGTTGTCTCGAGCAAAGTGAAGATTTGAAATAATAGTCCAAGAAACAGCGTGTGCCTGAGGCAGGCTCCCCTCTCAGTGTTGTACAGCAGTTAATGATGCTCCAAGGATGTTCCACTTCTGCTTTGTCTCTGTTGTGTCACGGAGGCTGTTCAGAATGGTGTGGGAAGCAATTCTTCCTCCCTTTGAAAGTTTTGTGGAATCTGAAGCTGCTTATGCTTTGCACTGAACCAGCTGGGAAAAAAAACACAACAAAAATCGGTGTTGGGACAGGCACACCCCAGCACGAAGACTAAACTTGTATCTAGACATTGATCTAGACTGTAGGAGATTGTGATTCTAGACTGCGGTTGTAATCTCAACAGGTTCTTGAAGCTGAGTTACATATTATCTTGCAACATATTTATCTAGTTCTACCCTTAAATTTCATCATGGAGCTGAGAAACACTTTCTGTGAAGACTGCTCTTCCTATGGAGAAAACCTCAATGTGTTGAAACTGAACATTTTCAAGGTAAAAACAGGGAAAAAAACATGCCAGAACCTTCCCACCCACCTCCGCTCCCTGCATTGCATGGGCCTCGGAGCTGCCTGTGAGACAGCCAGGCCGTTTTAGGATAAAAGACACTCTCCAAGAAGAGAAGCTTCTTCCAAATAGTTAATGCATCATACCGCAGAGGCAGACACCTCGCTGTTTGCAGTGTGTATCCACCATCTCAAACAAAAGCTGGTTGACTGCTATTCTGGTTAGGTCTCCCAGGGGTGATTTCTTTTTTTTCTAATGTAGGAGGGATTAAACGGTTCTTAGCAGTAAAAAGACTTCCTTTTAACTGACAGTGGGGAAAAATCTCTCTCTTGCAGGCTCCACTATGACAGCAAATGTGTGCAAAAAGATCACAGCCCAGCTGACAGGAGCCATTGGCAAGCAGGAGGATGTATCTGTGCAGCTGGAGGCTCTTGACATCCTGTCAGATATGCTGAGCAGGTACGAAAGGATTTCCTTCTGGCAGCTGTGTACGGCAGGGGGCTGCATGCATGTGTTTGCTTTTGATTTCTGTGTTTCCCTAATCCTACTACGAGGACTTAAAAATAAAGGATTTGGGTTGGCTGCCACTGGCTAATGTCTCAGCAGAGCAGATTCTCCAGCAGAGATGAGAGACGACATGCTGAGCCCTTCTGTGCTTGGGAATAGCAGTAACATTGGTGATGGATCCCACAGAGGCTCAGTTCAAACAAACGTAGGGAGGGAGAGGGCAAAGCAGGGAAGTTTATTTTAGCCCTGTGATCTGATCACACATGCATTTTTTTTTTTTCTGGATGCCTCTTTCTCTTGTTACATAAGTCAGAGTGACAGTGTCATATGTCAACTGCATGCAGGAAATTATTGACAAACACCCAGGTCATCCAGAAGGACACTGTCAAAATCAAACTCCTCCATGATGGAGACAAATAACCTCTCCCTGTGTTATACAGACCAAAATGCCAAAGCTACCCTTTTCCTCTCCCCACAACATGCATTAAGTCTTGCTGAAGGATTTTTACATTTTTTGCTGGCAAGAGGGCTTTTTCTCTGAGGCTTTGACTTTCAACTTCTGTCTTGTGCTGTTGATTGCAGACTAGGGGGAACACTCTACTCTTTCCATTCCTCCATTCTGAACTGCCTCCTTCCCCAGCTGACAAGCCCCAGGCTGGCAGTACGTAAAAGGGCCATCATTGCCTTGGGTCATCTTGTCTTGACCTGCAGCGGAAACATCTTCTCAGAGCTCACAGAGCATCTGCTCGCCGAGCTGAAGAGGAATGAGTCTACTTCTACTACCAGGACATACATTCAGTGTGTCGCTGGCATCAGTAGGCAGGCTGGACACCGCATAGGTGAGACAACGCTGGGAAACGTGCATGCATTTTAGAGCAGCTCCTTTTAGTGGTAAAAGAAGTGTGTTCACTCTGTTCCTAACGTATCAGTGGCTTGCGCTTTGTGATTCCCTCTGTGGTCCTGACCTGGCGCTCTGATCTCCACTTGGAAGGGAGGAGACACCAGAGTAACTCTCTGGCTGCCCTTCTGTATAGTGATTTCATCTCAAGGTCTTGCAGTGCTTCCCTGCTCTGAATTAACACCTCTGTGAATTAGGTCAGTGGATTCACCCCATTTTAAATGAGAGGAGAAATGGAGGGCAGCATATTGTATTACTTGTCTAAAAGATCTGCCAGAGCTGAGATTAGGTCCTAGAAAATTTCTAATCACAGCTCTTTCCTTGACAGAAGTACCAGCAAGGGGCTGAAGACAGGGAGCAGGGGTCGTCTGCTTAAAATCCCTGGAAGGCTGGACCGTGAGGTCCAGGGGAGGAATGCTCTGCCACGAAGGAAGTGGCAGATGGCTGAACTGTTAGCTGCTCGGGTGAGTGAAGGCTGGAATGATTTTTCACTGCTGCTTACTTTGTCTTTCCCAGGAGAACATCTGGAGAAGATAATTCCTCTGATTGTTCAGTACTGTAACGTGGAAGATGACGAGCTGAGAGAGTACTGCTTTCAGGCCTTTGAGTCTTTTGTGAGAAGGTGCGTGTCCTTGAGGAACAACTGTGCACCGTCCTGTGCGTCAGTGTCCTCCTTCTGTAAATATCTATACATTCAGCATCCAGGGTTGAGTGCCTTCCTATATACACTCCGGTTGGGACAGACAGTTCACAAATGAAATCCCTTCTTTACACACAGAGATGGGCTTGAGTTATGAGCTATTTTACCTCAACATGAGAGAGTGTGTGTTTCTGTATTGGTTTTGCAGGAGTGGGAGTTTTCCTTGTCCTTGGAGGATTCCTCAGCAAGAGGGAATTGCCTCACTCCTGGTGTGTGGAGGGAGTGGGAGGCAGGAAGGGGGCTCAGGCAGAAAAGCTGCTGAGCTGCAGCTCTCCTGTTGTTTGGTCAAATGTTTACAGCTTGTCTGGGAAAAGGAGTCCTGCAGAGCTGCTGAGGTTTTCTCCCGTGAAGGGAGGGTTCAACCAGGTGGTGAAGGCAATTTATTATTTTTTTTTTTCCTTACAGAAATCATTGCATCCTTTCCAGGGGAATGTGATCTTGCTTTGTGCACAGCAGGAAGGAGCGGCTCTGGTTTAATTCATGTTAACAAAATGTTCATATAGTCTGTAAAGCATTTTGGGATCCTTTTGAGATGAATTATGTTATTGGATATGTAAAATTGCTTAGTCTTTAATTTATTAACTCTTAGTATTTTTATTTGTCGTGATAGGTGCCCAAAGGAAATTGACCCTCACATCCCTAATGTGATGGGGTTATGTTTGAAGTACATCACCTTTGACCCAAACTACAACTATGATAATGAGGAGGAGGAAGAGGAGGAGATGATGGAAACTGAAAATGGGGAGGATGAAGAGCAAGGTGCCTGCTTGTGAGGATGACTGTGCTCAGCAGAACACTGGGTTAACATTTCTCCCCTTCCTGCTTTCTCACCCTCTGTGATGTTAATTTTCAGATCTGTTTCAAGACAGTCAGTTCTTCTAAATGGGTTATTTTAATCTACCAATGGTAATATAGCTGTATGTGCAAAGTTCCAGCAGTAATTCTGAGTTTGTTAGTTTTACTTTTTTCAGACAGGGTCCTCAGATCTCTGCCTGCCTTAGGTGACAGTGAAAACACCGAAACTTGAACTCTGAACTAGCTTAGCTTACTGTTTTTCCTGTGCCTGCTGACTGCAGGAGTTTCTGAGAGCACATCCAGCAAGCAGCCAGGCTTAACGCCTGCAGATCCTGAGGAGCAGCCACTCCACCATCCTGATTGTTGGAAACGCTCCCTTGTGCTCCCAGAGGTGCTGGTGCTGCTTGCAGCCTGCCAGGCAGATCTCAGACCCCTGCTCCGAGCAGTTGACGTGATATGCATGGCTTGTACTTCAAGGGAAGGTGTGAATGCTGCCGCTCTTGCCTGCTCTCTGGCTTGTCCAAACCTCGGGTGGGGACACCAGGTGTTTGAATGCAGCTGTAACACCAGTTCCTGTCTGTCCTCATAGTTTAGCTCTAGTAGGCTTAGGCTTATGTGAGAGCGAGGGCTCCTTACTGGGGTCCTGACAAAAGGGGATTTCTTGAAAAGAAAGATATTACAGGCAGATCTAGAAATTGCAGTTAAACAGTTAGCCTCTTACTGCATCTACTGGGATGTTACACAGTGTTACCTTTTTTAACCAGGCAGCTAGCCAGCATTTGTAGCTTACTCTGGTTAGAAAAGGAATCAGAAATCTTTGATATCGTCTCACTTATTTACAAGACCGGACAAACTCCTGTTTTCCCTGGTCATAGGGGAGGTCAGGCAAGCAAGCAGTACTTCCAGGCTGTCGCAGCCAGCGCTCCTGCCAGGGTCTGTCAGAACCACGCTGCTTTGTCAGGCTCCAGTTTTTTCTTGGTTTCTGTGTTGCTTCCTCTTACACTTCCGTCTAATAGGGTGTTTTCCACATAGACACACTGTTCCTGAGCACAACAGCCAGCCCAAGCTTGTCTTTGCAGTCACTTAGGGGCTGCAGAGCCTATACTCGTGCCCCTCTTTGTGAGGCTTGTTGCTTTTTTTTGCAAGAAGAGGTATATGCTTAACTGCTATTTTAAATGAAAGCCTGCAATTTTGATTTAACAGTTTCAGGGCAACTTAACTCAGCCTACAAACATAGCAGCCACACAATTATATTTTTATTATAAGGTAGCTATTTTTTACTACTTTGTAGCAGAAGAAAGCAAAGCTACAATCCTGAACACTTAAAAGTGCCACCAGTAAAAACATCTTGGTCTACCACTAGAAACGTCTTAGTCATCAGTGAAAGCAATCTGATACTGTCTTCAAAAGAGACCTTTCACTTATTTTCTGAATCATGTTTACTTTGAAGTGAATGTTGAGCCTTGGTCAGATAGGAGGGGTACCTTTAATGCCTGTTAGCTATACACAACATTTCATAATGTCTCTATTTACAGTTTCATATAGTGTGGCAGCTAAGAGCAAAAGTTAGAACAAGTTCCCTGAAAGAAAGGCATTTTTGTTTACTTTCATACTAATTGGGGTAAGATCATGGCCGGCTTCCTGGAGAATATGTTAAATGTGCTGTCAATAACATAGTAAATTGTTAAACTGTTTTGTGCCATTCAGGAATTGCTAAGACAAATATTTATGTATTTCTGGCTTTAAAACCCGAGAACCTCATTTTCCCTTCAAAACAAAAGCCTTGATGCCTGAGCTGAAGCGGACAGTAAGGGTAGTAACATTATGGTTTATTCTCCATCAGCTCTTGCTTGGAACAGAATAATCTGACACAGGGCAGCCCTGGGTCATGTTGGCTGGTAATGATGTCTGTAGGGACAGGCTATTCTGGACAACTTCACGTTCCCCAATGTGTGTGAATTACTGGCATCTGTTTGTCTGGTCAGCTGGAGAGGGAAGCTCTGAGGATCAAGTGATCCTCTAGCTCCGGTTTTCTCATAATGGTGCACCTTGTTTTCCCTTGTCTTCTTTCCAGAAAGCGATGATGAGTACAGCGACGATGATGACATCAGCTGGAAAGTCCGCAGGTCTGCAGCAAAGTGCCTGGAGGCCATTGTCAGCAGCAGGCACGATCTCCTTCAGGACTTCTGCAGGAGGAGAATGTCAAAGCTGACATCTTCAGTGCTTATATCTCCTTGCTGAAGCAAACGCTTCCCATCCAGAGCTGGCTGCATGCTTCAGATGCCTCTGGCAAAGATGACGTTCCCCTGACAATGCTTCAGAACCAGGTGCGTGAGGAGATGGCGGGCTGGATTAAATCAGAAGGCAATGAAGAGAAGTACATACCATGCCACCGATGAATATGCGTAGTAGTTAAGCTTGAGAACATTGCGAGCTGAAGGAGCCCTTGGGGGGCTCCCCCTAGAGGGGGCTAAATCCTGAGGGCTGACCATTTACTGTTTGTCTCCCACCATTCCCAGGGAGAGAGCGCTGAGCCAGTGCAGGAGTGCTGAGGTATAACCTGCATTGCCCCCCTCCACTAGGCTCTGGCATGTGTTTGCAGACTGTGTATGAGACAAGTTAGCCTTTTGGTGAGGTGTCATACTGTTGCCTGACAGTTACTCCAGCTGCTGTTCAGGAAACTCATTGAGTACATCGTGGTAGAAGCGTACCAGAGTAAGGCACTGGAAGCTCAGTAAGGTTTGGATCTGGTCAGTAGGCGTGTGAGAGCATGCAACTTGGTTCATTATGGGAAAACAGCCACTGGCTTCCAGGGTAGCTTGCTGTGGTTGTGCACGCAGTCTGCACATCACCGCTGATCATACAAACAATAGTGGAAGCAATTTTGCTGATGCACTGCTTTAATTCAGAAGTATGCTGGAGTAATTACAGTCAGAATAATTTAGCCACACATGCTGATCAGGGCTCTGTCTAGCCCAGGATCCTCGCTAACGCTGTGGTCCACACATGCCATTTTAGAAGACAACAAAAGAAACATTGGAAATAACCATGTTGTTATAGAGTAGCATGACTGTGAAAGCAGCTCTTTCTGGCCGATGCTACTACTTACTGGTGAGTCCTTGAAGCAGGAGCGTTAAAATCCCTGCCAAAATGTAATTACATCACTGATTAATCATCTTACATCTTACAAGATATTTATTTAAATAACTTGCACCTCAGCCCTGTGATTTGTTTTTTGATCCCACTGAAACACTGGCAGGGTGTCCAAGTTTAAATATAGTGATGGGACTAGATCCTTAAACAGCAGACCAGGAAGGAATCATAAAACTCTAAGCTCTTTTAGCAGTGTGTCCTGGTCTGATCATTTTGTTGTGTTTCTTTAAGCTTTTGTGTTAGGGGATAACAACAACTTCAGCAACTTCTGTTTGTAGAATACAGAAAAGAAGAATAAAGTCCCCTCCAGCTCTTCTGTTCATGTATCCTTTCTTCACGTGCACTGTCTTGTAATCTCTCCCAAGTCTGTTCTCCTCTGGTGAACAGGAGCACTGTTTCTTGCTGTCTTCCTGTTCGTTCTCTTGCTGTACTGTTAGGGCCTCTGGCTCACCTGAGCGAGCTGCTTTGGTAGCATAGCTCTGTGCCCTGGAAGCTGGGATGACTGATGTGTTTCCTTCTGGTTTTCTTTTCCAAACTGCAGGTCCCCAACATCGTCAAGGCCTTGCACAAGCAGCTCAAAGAAAAGAGCATCAAATCAAGACAGGGTTGTTTCAGCCTCCTGACAGAACTGGCCAATGTTCTTCCTGGTTGCCTGGCAGATCACATCCCTGCACTAGTCCCTGGTAAACTTGTCCGTGATCCGGGGGTGAAGGAGCAGGGTTGGCTCAATCCATTCCTAACATGTATGCTCCTTGCCTGCGTGTTCCAGTTTTATTCCTGTATATTATCTCTGCTCAGCATCAGGACATACACATCAAGTTCTGCTCCATGTTGATGTGCTAAGCAGCTCCCAGATCAGTCCTGGCTTCTGTCTACCACTGAAAGCCAGGACAAGAATATCAAGTTAATTTCTGCAGTCCCCTGAAGAGATGCTTTTAGGAGGGCCCGTTACAGTCTCCTTTGAAACTAGTTGGAATTATGCTGTTAGCCTGCTGAGACACGAGGGGCATTTTCTTTTACAAAATGTAATGTCTTTTTAAAAATTATTTGTATTGAGTGATTATTTTATTTGAACAGCCACATTTTTCTCTGAGCTTTCCTGCCTATAGGTTCATGAAGCATCCCACACTGCTGAAAGGCTCATAATACCAAGGTCCTGCCTTTGCTTTTGGTGTGACTCCATAGTAAATATAAATAAGTCTCCCGTGTTTGTCCTGATCCATGCACCTCCCTCTTATGAATTAATAGATTCAGAAAAAACATTCAAACCAAGAGTCAGGTATGACTTCAGGGGTGGCATGCAGTATTGTTGTAAATGTTTCTCATGAAGTCTTCTGGGAAACATAAATATGTGCCGCAGAAATTGGACTTGGAATTACCTCCCTTCTGCGAAGGCGGTCCATCTTCAGTGGTCCACAGTTATGTTCCAAACAACAGTAACAGAAGTTGTAAAACTAGATAAACATAAGAGCCCCTGCTTCTTTTCTTTTTTGTTTTTCTAAAGACTGGCCACGGAAGTATGAAGGAAAAACTC